TGCTCCAGTAGCTCACATCAGGTGGTCTGGTTCATTGAGGGTTCTAAAGGTTGGCCTGAAGTACAGAAGTTTCTGAGCCACCTGATTACCAGCTAGATTATACCTTTTCTTTTTTTAGGCTTGCTGAGTTTGGTTTTGTGTTGTCTGTACTGACTTACATTGGAGAACTGGTTTGAAAAAAGTCATGGTGCAGCTTGGTAAAATAGTAAAGAAAAAAAGCTTTCATTCAGGAGTATTGGAACAGGAATCAAGACTATTCCCATGTGGAAAATTAGGTCTTCAAATCCAAATACAGAAAAGATAGCCTGAGATGGCCAACAAACAAATGATGGATTTGATGCAAAACTACTAAGAAGAGAATCAAAATTAAGGGGATACTTTCCAAAACAATTTAACAAAATTTTTGCTAAAGGCAGGCCAATGTCATCAGATAAGAGAGGAACTAAGCTATCCAGAATGACTGAATATGAAGCAAAGGGGATTGTAATAAAATAAAATCCTCTAACAAGATTCTAACAATCATACTACCAAAGAGGCCCAAAAAAAGGCCTTTCTGCCAAAGAGGACTCCAGACTACAGCACTTGCCAGGGAATAGACAGGAGTTAGTTTTCAGATTTATGGTGCCATTAGGGTCAAATGTCAAGTTTCAACAAAATAGGAAAATCACAAGGCATATAATAAAAGAAAATTATAATCCATGCAAAAGAAAACCAATTCAGAGTTTTGAAAATCTGTAACATGTATTGTCATATGCTACCCTGTTCCTGTCTTTGTTTTTCTTGCTCCTGCTTTTACCTTCAAAATAAAAGAAAATTATTCTAAAAAAAAAAAAAAGAAAACCAATTAATCAATCATTACTGTCCCTGCAAAATATCTGATACCAGAGCTACTAAATAAATACATAAAACAAACTGTCTTATATATGTTCAAAGTCAATTAAAATGTGAAGAAATTGAAAAAATGCAAAGAAAAATAGACCTGTCAATAAGGAGATATAGAATCCAAAAAAGAAATCACAAGGAAATTATGACACTCAAAAGTAAAAAGAAAAAACTGAAATGGAAAATTCATGGAAAGAATTTGAGTAGACTGAGGAAAGAACCAGTAAAGTTGATAATAGGATAGTGGAATGCTTACAGAAACAGAAAAAAAATGTAAAGAATGCCTAAGATGTTTGATATTTAGACAGATAGTTAGGATAAACCAAACTGCATATGTTGCAGGGTAATAATAAGCTTCTCTTCTGGAAGGTTAACAACCTAAGTTTGCAGATCAAAAATTGGAGAAAAGGAAGGGCTACAAGGTCAGCTAACATTTTGGCCCTAGCATTTCAAGGTCAGTGAAGACTCAGGACATAGGAGAATTTGTACTGTAGCATCATGTAACTCAGTTGTGCCCCAAATTTTCTGATCAAAGAGATTATGGAGCCACAGAGGAATGGGATCAATGATGTAGAGTGTGCCTAAGGAGAGTCATATGGTGAGAAAACATTCTCTCAGGCTTTCACAGAGAGAGAATTGGTCAAGCAATGACTGTGATTCATCCATATGGCTGACACTGACAAAGGATCTACAAAGTGTGGTACAAAGTTACAGGATAAATCCTGAGGGTACTTGACTGACCTTATTAGATAAAAAAGTTACATTTCTTGTTATATAGGTCTTGCTTTATCTTGGTATTAACCATCCAGCAGAAAAGTATAAAAACAAGGTATATAAAGTAAAGCCATATTAATATGCTGAGCTGTGAAAGGCTCAGGTCAACAACTTCTGCTGATAACCCACTACTATTGTGGACTGCTGGACAGTGTTGGATTGTTTTGCTGAATTCATGCACCTATAGTATTTAGATGCCAATGGAATACTCATCTCTGACAAGACTAAACAAAAAAAGGGGATACAAAGGAAGGACCATTTTGTATTTATATATACAGAATAGTTAGGATAGATATACAGCTACTTTTGCTTAATTCAATAAGAAGAAAAATTTGTACTTATAGTGTTTGGACAGGATATCCTGTCTGCTTCTTGTACTATGGATAATCACTAAGAAGATAGCAATATACAATGTATTAATTATTTAAAATAAAGTGAAGTCAGTTCACAACTAGGAAAGTTATATGACAACTTTGAAAAGGTGACACTAAGTAACAAGCTGGTCACAACTTTGCATTTTATGATCCCAGGTATGTGGAACATCCAGAAGAAGCAAATCCAGAGACAAAAAGTAGATTAGAAATTATTTAGATGGCGAGTGTAGAAAAGAGAGTTGGTAAGGAAATGAGAGTGACTACTGATAGGTACAGGTTCTCTAGGGTAAGAAAATAAACTGAAATGGATTAGAGTTACGCTATGCCTTGGGTCTTGAAGGTTCCCAGTCGCCCATGTATTGAAGGCTTGGTCTTTAGCCTGCTACCGCTGGGAGATGGGAAAACTTTTCAAGAGACAGGATCTCTTGGGAGATCTTTAGGTCTGTGGGGACTGGCCAGGAAGCAGACTGAAAGCAAGCAACAATGAACTGAAACCTCCATAACTATAAGTCAAAATAAAGCTTTTCTTCAT